GGAGGAGGAGGGGGGAAATGAGGAAGGGGAGGACGAGGAGGAGGAGGAGGAGGAGGGGGACGAGGAGGACGAGGAGGACGAGGAGGACGAGGACGAGGAAGAAGAAGAAGAAGAAGAGGCGGAAAGAGAGACGCACGAGCCCTCCGAGATTGAGATGCGCCAGCGCCTTCGGCTCTTGCACACCATGTCCTCAGTGTCCTCGATGGGCGAAGCCGCAACGCTCCTCAACCGCGCCATGCTGAACACGGCGTGTGGGAGGTTCGAGGACGCCCTCTGCCTCCTTGACGACGTGCTGGGGATGGCAAGCACTGAGACCACGAGCGTGGAGGAGGCGAGGATGCAGGCGCGCGCGGCGAAGGTGAAAGGTACCGTGCTGCAAGAGATGGGTCTCATGAAGGAGGCCAGCGTCTGGTACGAGCTCAGCGTCCGGGCAGGGCGGCGACTCCTCCAGCAGGCACCCCTTTCCGAGGACTTGCGCAAGTATTTCCCGTCCCTTCGGTACGTGCACAACCAACTCGCGCAGTTTTATTTGTCCGTGCGGGCCTTTGCCCTGGTACTGGAGCACTTTGAGCAGCTGGTGGCCTTGACGGACGACGCGGGGGACCGACGCCGCCTTCTGCGGGAATTCGAGCGCCTTTCCCTCGAGCACGATTTCTGGCAAGACGTGACGCCCGGCATGCTCGACCAGGAGCTGGAGCAAGGGCGCAGGTGGTACAGGGAGAAATGCTGGGAAGAAGCGGCGCTCCAATTTCGCCGGGTCGTGCAATTGGCACGCCTGGCGTCCTTTTCCTCGGGGGATGGGACACGGATGGTCGAGGCCCGGGCCCTGGGGAACTATGCCACTGTACTCAAGGACTTGCGGAGGTGCGACGAGTCCATCCTCGCTTACCGGCTCTGCTGTCGGCTTTTGGAGGAGCTGGAGGAGGAGCAAATGGAGCGGCGCATGCTGAATGGCTTGTCTTTGTCCCTGATCGAAGCGCACAGGTACGAGGACGCCGCCGTGGTCTGTGAGCGGCTTTTGGTGCTGACGGAACGGGACGACAATGTGGAGCTTGTCAAAACCAGGTTGGAAGAGATACAGGCGTGCCTGCGAGACGGGAGGCGGACGATGGAGAGGGAAAGTGTGGATGAGGGGAACGAAGAGACGAGGTGAGGGCCCCGTGGGGGCCAGAAACACGCCTTAAATGTGACAGGTCGTATCGAGTAACCAATTTAACAAATAAAGTGCCGCATTATTCGAGTCGTTGTAGACCCTTTTGGTAATCGCCTATTGTTTAGTTTCTTGAGGCATAAGGCTGGCAATACGAGTACTTTCGTTCCTCCTTCTGATGGTGACGCAGAGTTAGTCTCACTCCTTCCACTCACCCGAATATTCCAGAAGCTGCGCGGTTGCCATCACATAAAACATGTATCACCGTGACCTTTTCCTATTCCAGCACCCTACAGCTCACCAACATGTCGAGCCCAGCTTGCAAATTTTCCTTTCTAGCTCACTCTGCTATCGCACTTGTACCGTGGACACATCTATGCGGAGCTCTTTTCAGTCCCGGCGTCTGCCGTACACAATGAAAAACGGATTCAACGCGTCCGGCTTGTTATACTCCACGGGCAGTCCGGGCTGGCATGCCTTGCCTCCTTCCGCTTGCAGAACCTCTCCTCCTGCCGCCTCCACCACCGCGTGTGAGGCGCAGGTGTCCCATTCACAGGTTGGTGCCAACCGGGGGTAGACGTGCGCCTCTCCCTCGGCTACCATCAAAAGCTTTAAAGAAGATCCTAGCGCCTTAAGAGTCGGGTTCTGGTACTTGCTTATAAAATTCTCCGTTTCGGGGGTATTGTGTGAAGCAGAGGCAACGACGGCCAAGTTTGGATCCTTTTCACTGAATTCTTTCACCTTGATGGGAATTGGTGGCTCATCCGCGATCTCCACAAAGGCGCCGTGGCCTTTCGCGCCATAGTACGTCTTAGCCGGTTCCATAGCTGGCACGTGTACCACCCCAAATATGGGGGACTTCCCCTGGCATAACCCAATGTTTACCGTGAATTGGCCGTTCCGCTTTAGAAACTCCTTCGTTCCGTCCAGGGGGTCAACGCACCAGTAGAAAGGCCAATTGCTTCGTTCTTCATACGGAAGCATTTTGTTTTCCTCGGAAACGATGGGAATCGAAGGATACTTTTCCTTGAGCGAGGCACAAATCAGGTTGTTGGCAGCAAGATCAGCAGCGGTCAGGGGAGAGTTGTCGGACTTTGCCTTAACGTCCCAGCTAACAGTGTCCGGGAAGGCGTATATAGACATGATGGCATCTCCAGCCGTCTTAGCAATAGAAACCACATCTTTGGCTAAGACCTTGACGGCGCCGGCCTGGATGATCATGGGAAACTGTTGACCAGTATGGTGAGAGCATAATCAACGGTCAAGAATCATGAGAGGACTCGCGTGGTATATGGTATGAGTGATATAGGAAAGCGACTAGGAAGAATCGACGAGAGATGCGCGCCAGCTGACAGGACTCGCTCCAGAGGCGCCGGGGTCGCGCTCCGGGCACTGGGTCCCAAACTTGGTTACCCAAGTGTTTTGTGTACACCTCAGCCCTCTCTCATTTTTGCGTGAATGGGGCCTGGTCTTTGTGAGTGTTCTGCAGGGTATTGGATAGTAATGACGGTATCCACCAACCCTGTGCTTCTCGTTTGCGGAGCAAGTATTGACGGTCGATCAAACGAGTTACCCCTATTTTCCGAAGCTCCCGGAGCCCCCCGAAAAAAACAAAACTTGGCTTGCCATACAAGAATATGTGTAGCCGCGTAGAGCCTTCTGTGGTGTCTGCTTATTGCCGATTGACGACTTCTTTCCTCAGTCTGACGCTCGTGAAATTACCTATATATCAGACGGGCACTTACGACAAGTATGACGATTAAGCGAAAGGGGCTTTTGTCACCAAGATGTCCCGATGTTCATGCTGCTGTTGTAGCGACAGACTGCTGTCGTGCTAACACGGCGACTTCAGTGAAGCATGGTGGAGAGAAGCCTCCAGTAGTGTCCACGAGTGGTGACTTGCCAAAGTATGAGCCACGCGTTGCAGATGACGGAGTCCTCCACGGTGCTTGTCAAACAGAGATTAAGGCTCTGCGGGCGGAGGTTGAACTACTACGCAAGAAGCTTGACGCTGCATTAGGTGACATACCAGCATGCTCTATTTGCCTGGAATGCGTTGACTATCCTGTAGAGCTGCAGGAGTGTCGGCACCTCTTCTGCTGTCAGTGCTTCTACATGTATGCCAAATGGAAAACTACTGGGAACATAGCATGTCCTGCGTGTCGTACAACAGTATATAAGGCACCGCTACCACCGCCTCTCGCCTTCATACAACATTTAGACGCGATAAAGGTTGCGAAGCGGCGACAACAAGAGGCGGTAAGGACGGGCGCAGACCCAGGACAAAGTCTCGAGGGAGGTATATATAGAATTGACGCAAAAGCAGAAAGTCAGAGAAGAAGCGAAGAAGAAAGTGAACGCAAAGTAGGAGAGAAAATCAAATTGGAAAGATGGAAGGAAGGGGTAAGCATGATGAAGTCACATGATGAGGAGATAGGAGAGGATGACGACCGCTCTGCTGCAGGTCTATTGGATCGTGCTGGCCCGTCGGGGCAGGCGCAGGAGGATAGGGATATGGAGGCAAAAAAGACTGCAGCTGCTACCGCCATTGCTGCTCGCCGTGCCCGTGCGGCGTACCAAGGCCAGATGGCCGAGTTGAAAGTCATGTTCGAGGCTGCAGAGCGCATGGGCGAGGGGGCTGTCGGGCTGAATTCCTCCAGAAGAATACGGCCGCGTACAATAAGAAATGCAGAGATGGATGGAAGCACTCATCTCAACTACGATGAGTCTGACGGTGTGTACCGCTGCCTGAACTGCCATTGGGAGGTGGATGAAGGGGGCCTGTGCGCCCGATGCCTCCACGACGACGACGATGAAGAGGAGGATGTAGATGTAGCACATGTGTCGAGGACGGATTTCTACCCACCGGGTCAGTTTGATTACGATAGCGATGAAGATGGGACTTTGGATCGATGACCACGAATTCAGTGATGGCGATGGAGTGACGAGGGGATTGCCATTGAGATGAGCGTCAAACCGAGATTGCTTCTATTGGCTTTTGTTTTGGTCCCTACCACGCCGCCTAGTAAGTGGAGAAGGATGGATAAAATGTATCAAAGGAAGAGGGAGCCGGGTAGGACTATAAGGAGGAAACAAGAGGGAGCGGGAAAATGGAAGAAGAGGAGAGCGGTGAGGCAACTGTCGCACTGGTTCGTGATGCGTTTGAAACTGAGCGTGACAGAAGATAAACGAGCGTTGAATCCCGCAGCGAGTCATGTGAAAGCGACCTAGAGACGAGGTCTGCTAGCCATGAAGGAGCGGGCGAAAGAGAAGGAACGGTGCTGAGACGCATGAAATGGGGCACATCATACGGTTATGTATCTCTTTCGTGAGCAGAGCAAGGGAATAGCAATCATATGTGACATCAATGTAAATATAAACTTCAGTGTATCTTCCTGCAGATCTATTTTTATTTACTTTCTGCTCGAAATCCAAGCCGGTTTTCCGTTCGAGTCCCAGATTTATTTCACAAAGGGTGTGCGTGTGTATTCTCGAGGATTGTTCTCATGATCCATACGTGTCAGCCTGAACTGAGCCAGTCCCTTTCAGATCGCCCCTTCCAAAGACAAGCTATGAAATGTGTGCCTGGCAAAGTCATACTTTTCGTTTCCGCTATCAAGTGCCCTCGCGCCTGCCGGGAATGATAAATCAAACTTCATGCCTCAGATACCACACGTAGGCCCCGCAAATTGAAGGCAAAACAGTCCAGTCAGACGTGCCATGAAAGTAGAACGGATCGAGGCAGCCCAATGAAATTTGGCATGGCTCAGCACTACTACAGACAGCAAGGCATGAGGACTCGCCGCAGGAACCATAGGGCGGCTTGGGATCCCTTTGGAAGATGGCTCCTAGTGCCGCTGCAAGATGTGCCAGAGTCGAGACGCCTCCACATACAAGGCACCGGACGCGTCGGGTGCGTTTTCGATGTCGATAGCGACCAGCAAGCGGGGTGATGCGTCCCTTTTCTTTTGCCTCTCTTCATCAGCGTCCCACCAGTTCCACACATCGGCCAACATCTTGGCCCCTTGTCTTCCAATGCCAGTGCGCAGTAAATTGAGCAAGTTCAATCGCGAAAAAATGACCTGCTGCTCATCTCTCTTCTCAAAAGATGGCTGGAAGAGCCCAGCGATTGAACGGGCACCATTCTCGCCAATCCTGTTCCACGATATGTCCAAGTGTCTCCACGTGCAGGAGCCCGCCGAGTCCAGTATCAGGGCTTTCTTCAGGCCCTCCGCAAAGCTGGCAAAGTTCTCATCTAAGTCTACTTTCCGAAGATCGAGATGCTCCAAAGAAGGGCAGCTAGCCAGGGCCATGGAAAAGGCACATAGGGGGTGATGCTCTTCCGCATGTGCGCTTTGGGCGTTACTTGCACTCGCTAAGACCTCGACGCCGAATGGATTGTAGCTGAGATCGAGATGCCGCAATTTCTGATTCACTGACTTAGTAGAGGCAAATTTCGATATAGCGACCAATGCATCTTGACGGATGTTGTTATGCGAAATATTTAGATGCTCAATCCTTGCACAGGACATGTTCACAAGGCTGCGAAAAAGCAGGCGCGCTCCCTCCGACCCGATGGAGTTGTGGCTTACATTGAGATGCACCAAGGACGGAATTTGCCAGTTCAAAACTAATCGATGCATTACCATGCTATTTAGAGTGGTGTTGAAGAGATTGAGGTGTCGCAGTGACAAGGGCAACGCCCGTCCCAAAGCGCTCCATGCTTTACGAGAGAAGTCAGTAGGAGCTGATAATACGCTATTTGTTCCCGTGCCGACTTCTTCTGTGCCATGTAAGACCGAGTCCGGGGAGTAACTTTGCACTTGATTGTCGTATAATACATCCAACGGATTGTTAGATAGGCTCAACATGGTAAGGAGTGGACAACGAGCCAATCCTCGCGCTAAGTGGAGAACACCTCGCAGGCCGATACCCGTATTTCGAAGGTCTAGAGACTGAAGCAGTTGGCAATCTCCACTTTCTAAGAGATCGCATAGGGCATC